AGGGGGTGTTTTTCCCATGAATTCGCTTAAAACGAAACACCTACAACTTTGCAAAGAAAATAAACAACGCGTCTTGCAAGAGCGAATCTAAAGATTAGAAGAGAAAAGGTCTCAAAAGAAATATCTATTCTTCTTCGCATTCATCATTAGCCCGTAAAAGCCTACTGAAAGTGACTGCAAGTCATTAACCTCTCCTACTGTAGGAACGATATGCTATTATCTATATATATCTATATATAATTTTCACGGTTTGCACATAGATTGACGATCACAATACAAGACGTGGTATTATATTTATACATGGTAGAACCATGCTCCAGCTACATTACTAGTATAGTTATAGCATGAATAGGTTAACTCAACCGGGGAAGGACCACGCTCTCACAGAATACCATCGTAAAATAGCAGCTTAATTCTGCTGTGTTTCGTATAGTGAGTGTAGAGAAGCGGAGACACTTTTTACTGGAAAAGAGACATTCCATCTTAGTCCACAAGGATAACAACGCATCTGCATTTTGATTCTTTATTGAGGATAGATGTAGATGTCTATGGATCACAGCAACTACTTACCATCAGGTGGACTGTGTGCTCGTTTATCACCCTATCCTACAAAAAGGCATCTCGCACCTTTGACGTTGCTGTTGGTGTTCGTTGTTGCAATAGTTAATGCACTTAATCGGTACCATTATAAAATTACTCCTTATAAGTATAAAAAAATATCTATATTATTAGGCTGTTTGAATTGAAACAGTGGTCTAGTTTAAAAATATAATCAAACAGGCCCAAGAAATAAAACTTCAAAACAAATATGTTACTAACAAACTTTCTATGCGGACGACGTCGCGGGCACAGCTAGTCAATAAATAAAATTGTGTGTTATTCATAGAGAGAATGACGTGTTTTAATTAAGGACCTACCCTCTTTACCTCCAACAGCAATTGGGGCTTTGTATACTCCGTCTCATTTCATTAATGTAAGTACATATTTCAATATTTTTACAAATTTGACCGGTATTATAAATTTCTAATTTTTTGTTTTAACTTTCTTTTTAGTAATTATTAACAGTATATGAAACAAAATGTTAGTAACTATAGGTTTTTCTTATTTCAGCTGTTTTTGACCATAAGTACATCATGTGCAGATGTAAGAAAATCCAGTACCTTATATTATTATCCCGTGGGTTTCGGTCACAGCATTCACTCACCATCAAGTGGACTGTGTGATCGTTTATCACCTTATTTTATTTTTTTTTAAATAGAGGGAAAGAAACAGGAAGTAATATGACAAACAAACACGAAAGGTTAGTAAACTGTGTAGTGGCGGAATAAGAATATCCACTACCCCATTCCCACGGGTGTCGTAAGAGGCGACACAGCGTGGCCCTTCCCCGGTCGAGCCGACCCATTCGTGCTACAAGTATGCAATTAATACAGCTGAAGTAGGCGCTATCGTCCGCATATAGAGCCAGCTCTAAATCGTCCTCCCATTCGCGTTCTAGTCCTGACAGGGTTGGGATGTCATTGGTACTCGTATAAGCCGCGTACAGGACCGGCAGGAGACAACCATGAGATGGGCAGCAGCGTCTTCCTAATATCAATTAAAGATAAAAATTATAGCAAATATACTCTCTATTAGGCAATCTACGAGGGAGGCCTATGTTCAGCAGTGCCAGGGACACGGCTCCATGGGGCAGTGACTTAGCAATGAGTTGTTGCGCTGGGGGCCGCGGGTTCGAATCCCGCACGGAACAAGTATTTGTATGACCTACAAATAATTGTTCCGGGTCTGGATATTTGTCCAATTTATGTTTGTAAACTGCCTCCACGACACAGGAGAAAATCCTAGGGTGGGGGTAACATTTTTTCAAAAAGAAAAAAGAATATTTAAGATTTAAGAGGGAAACTACGTGGTAGAGCCATGCTGCAGCTATATTATGGCTGTAGCACGAATGGGTCGGCTCGACCGGGGAAGGACCACACTCTCACAGAAAACCAGCATAAAATAGCAGCTTAACGCTGCTGTGTTTCGTATGGTGAGTGTAGAGAACCGGAGACCCTTTTTACAGGCAAAGAGGCATTCCATCTTAGTCCTCACGGGTGGCAACACATCTGCATCTTGAGTCTTTATTGAGTATAGATGTAAATGTCTATGGGTCACAGTAACCACTTACCATCAGGTGGACTGTGTGCTCGTTTGTCACCCGATCCATTAAAAAAAAAAACATGCCAGGAGATGGGCAGCAGGGTCTTCTGCCAAGCTGCTACAACTATTGCGAATGTTAGCCCACCCTTATAAGACGATCTATGGGATGACCTATGTTCATATGTGAACTTTGACAGGCTGTAATGAATTAAAACATAAATGTATCTATATATATTTTTTTAAAGACAATGATGCTGGTAGTCAACAATTGGCTGAAGCCCTGAGGTGATTGAGGATAATATATTACCTGCGGTGACTGTACCACACCCTACCATTTTATAACCAACAATCAATGAAAGTAATTTGCTTTCGTTTTCAGGTTTTATTGCCCAATCGGGAAGAATTAATTTGTCTAGTCTGGTGGCCTTGTTTTTTTTTTCAACGTTAACGTGAAATGTGAACTAACAGTCCAATGATAAATAAACAAAGAAGGTTACTGATGGCAAAGTGCCCTATGAGGCAATCTATGGGGGTGGCCTACGTTCTGCAGTGGACTTTTATAGGCTGTAATGGTTACTGATGCGTTGTCACCTCTGAACAATAAGATGGAATGCTTCACAGTCTGTGATTATATAACTGATACTCTATATCCAAAAATATAACTTTTATTCGTAGTTCTACAAAGAAACCTAATATATTAAAAATTATATTTGTTTGTTCGTATTTTATGCGCTGCCATACCGTTCATCAGAATGCGATAAAACATTGCTAACTTATTCCTTGCACTTGCACGAAGATTATAGGCATAGTACAAGCAACTTAAAGTATGTGGCGCGCGTATCGTATTGACAAATTTATTTTAAAGTTATATATGTAATAACATGCTCATACCTCATTAAACAATACCACTATTTAAAACGATATTTGCACAATTATTACGCAGCATTGCGGTAGCAATGCTCCGGGTACCAGCTAGTTTTAGATTTGGTGTAAAATATCACTAGTTATACTAATATTTTTATTGTAAAGAAGAATATGTGTAATTTTCCGGTAAATACAGATACAACAAGGGCAAACAAATAAGATGTTTCAAGGCAGACATTCTGTTCGGTATTGCTGACGCAGAGTAACAATCCCAAAAGCACCACAATTTTTTAGAAAACACATTAGTCACGCGGTCTTAGTGCCTGTGAGTAGTAGTATATTCTATCTTATAATGTTCTATCTAAGTATTTTGCTGAACATAGGCCTCACCTATAGATTGGCTCATAGAGAAGATATTTGCTAACTGCTACGCATGGTAAGCGGGTTGGCTAAAAATTTATCAGATATATCCTCTAAACGTTAAAAAGTAATTTATGTTTTGTCATTCAACGAAATGATAAGTTTCATCATCAAGAAATTGTTAACTACACAGAATTTAACCATTATTTCCAAACTGTAGAAGCAGTGAGTGGATTCTGCCCACTACAACCGACCTACGGGGCTGATTACGCACCTACTTATTTCCGCTCTTGGCTTAATAGTGACGTAAGATACTCCATCGCCACATTGCAGCTTCTGGTTTCGTAAGAGGTGACTATGGGATATGCCTAGAAGATCTGATGGTATAGCCGGCGACAGTACACAGTATCAAAAGTATAAAACACCTAGTACAACAAGTGGCACTAGATTTTCGACTCTCTGTCGTTAAAACAGCACACGTATTTAAAGAAGCATCAAAAACCTGATATCATCCCAATGCAAAATTTAAGCGAACACTTATCCCTCATAATATTTTGTCTAAATATTTTTTTTATTTATTATTGTAGACACCTACTCATGGGAACACTATCGCCATAACACCCATTACGATAGTGTTCTGTTTTTCAAATGATGCCGAAACTAAGCTAAAACCATACTTAACTTAATATAAGAACATGGCACCTAAAATCAATCGCAACCAATGACATTTTCGCAACAGTTTGCGGTGACAGTGGACTTTTACGGGCAATTAAAGAAAGTTAAATAATTTAAACAAAATGGTTACGGCGTCACATGAAATGTACAAAGCGAAGCGGAGCACTTGTACTTGTATTGTATTTTGTTGGTCTGATATGTCGATGAAAAATAGAATTATAATTAAAATGGATTTAAAATAATTATCAAATAGAGCCATTTTTATTAATGACGCAATATCAGTTCTGCCTATATTGAGAATACTCATTCACTGCTGCGATTTACACTTCGAACTTTTTTAAGAATCGTTACGTGTTTACCAAGAAGCTGAAAACTGGACCGGCATTGTTAATATAAACATACCAACATATAAAATAGCAACTTCTAGCTCAAAGAAACATCTGTTTCAGAAAATGTTGTATTCAGCTATAACTATTACAATTTGAATTAGGTTTTAAATTCTATATGGGACTGAGTTAAACTATTTGTCACACAGTACCCACGTCACTGATGAGTTGCGTTTCAAATAAAAGTTTTTCGGTTTCTACTGAATATACACTAAATAATGCCTCAGTTGTGTGCTCTTTAATTTCTTTGTACATTTAATCTTTTTATTATTTATTTTTAATCTTTTTTTATTATTTTACCTTAAGAAATAACTGTAGTTTGGTTTAAATCAATTTCTAATGTAATTTATATAAAATATAACTAATATTACAAAAAAAACCTTATTGTTAACACTTTTCTACCAATTTTACTTCCCCATCATGAAATGTGTCAAATATTAACCCCTATTCCAAAAGGCGCTACCCTGGTGGAAGAAAAAATTATGGAAGCAAAAATTATAAATCGATTTAAATCTAATAAAACTAGTACAGTCACTTAACTAGTCACTGCGTGTGTATACAAATCGCACTTACCCAAATGTCCACCATATGTCGAAGCACATGACGTTCAGCCAAGCGAACGCCGCCACGAAGCCGAAATAGATACCGTACCCTGTGCAAACATAACGCGATAATTGATCAACCGCTTCAGATGAGAACGTTTAAACAAAAATTCTTTTGTTTTCAAATTATCTCATCTCCACGTTGCTTAATGTTTTGTTGTAGCGATTATTAAACAGAAATATTTAAACAGTTTGTGATTAGCTTAATAACGGAATTTTGGGTGCTTGTCAATTACTCCACTATAAAGATATCACCTGACAATTAAGCGGCTATCACTCTAAGAGCTATCACGATATTGACAATTTAGTGCAGTGATTAGGAAGAAGAAAGCCTTAACCTTAAGTAGCTACTTCTATATATATACGCATATATATATATATATATATAATGGGTTGTTTGTTTTGTGTATATATATTTTTGTATGTATATATATATATACCTAGTCAGGTCATAAATTCTGTCACAGGTTTAATATAAAATAATTGAAACAAGTTTATTCATTATGTAACCATTTATATACCAAAATGAACTTAACAAAACATAGATTCTTATGACACTAAAGTTTATTCAAAATGACCTCCGTGATTTTGAATACAGGCCTTCAATATCGTCGTCTATCGCAGCACGAACGAGGTCCATGTCAATATCGGCGGCTGCCTTAATCAAGGATGTCTTGAGTGACTCCAAATTGGGATGAGGCTTTGAGCACGCCTTTTCCTCCAAGTGTTGCCATATCTTGTAATCTAACGGATTCAAATCTGGACTGGAGGAGGGCCAGTCTTCGTGCCGGATGAAGTCGATTTCAGGCGCCGCCAGCCAGTCTTGTGTGCTCTTCGCTCTATGAGCTGGCGCCGAATCTTGTTGGAATACCCAGTGCCCCATTTCATTACAAAATTACAAAATTATTGGCAGATAGTTTTTTTAACATTGCATGTCTTTATTAGGTAAGTACATTTATCGCACTTAAAAATTTTACTTTACTACCTGCTCGCCTTGTTTGGACGAATTCTAAGCTGTGTGAGCGAGACAAACGGTGCTTAGAATTAATGTGTGTTAAAATGATCGACAGATACTCCATTGTATGAATTCGTGTTTAGTTATTGTTAAATATGGTTAGTGCGTATCTCGACCTTCTCAACATAGCAATTGCTCTATTATTTCTGACTTTTGTCTACAAAATACTACTGGACTCATGATTTGTGCATAACAACAGGACTGTGTCATGTCACGAGAAATTTACACACCCCAAGAGTATGCTATCATGCATTTTATCTATGGTGAAAGTAGCGTGTTTATTAGAGTGCACGGCATTTATTCAGAGAGGAGAATGCCTGGTGCTGGTATTAGTGGTGCCAGTTGAGGAGGACGATACCTGACATTGACATTGAAGAAATTGTCCATGATATGTTTGAAAAAGATTCGTCTATTTCGATGCGAGATATCGAACGACGCACTGGAGTATTGCACTCTACAGCACATCGGATTCTCAAAAAATGGAGACTTCACCCTTATCATGTTACACGTGTCCAAACGCATTAACAACGTGACTATCCAGCACGAGTTAATTTTTACGGAGAAATGCTGAGGCGAATGAATGAAGATTCCGGGTTTTTTAACAAAAATTTTGTGGAGCGACGAGTCAACGTGTAAAAGAGACGGATGCCTTAACTTGCATAATCTGCACAGTTGGCAGCGAACAAACCCATATTTGATGAGAAAAGATAGGTCGCAATACCAGTTTAAAATAAATTATTGGACAGGAACACTAAACGGAAGAATCATAGGCCCCTAGAATTGCGGGTAAACTGAATGGGGCCAATTATTTAGAATTTCTGCCCCATTTATTAGAAGATGAGCCACTAGCCATCCGGCGAAGAATGTGGCTCCAAAATGATGGTTGTCTGGCACATTACGCCGTCCAAGTAAGGAGTTACTTAAACGAAGCCAACCGTGACCGGTGGATCGGCGAATGGGACCGATATTTTGGCCAACAAGATCACCTGATATTAACCCATTAGATTTTTTGTTGTCTCGCTCACACTGCTTAGAATTCGTCCAAACAAGGCGAGCAGGTAATAAAGTAAAATTTTCAAGGGCAACAAATGTACTTACAAAAAAAAAAGACATGCAATGTTACAAAAACTTTCTGCCAATAATTTTGTAATTTTGTAATATAATGCCTACTTTTACACATTAACGGCTATAACTCAGTAAGCAATGACATTAAGTACATGGTATGTTAATATTATAGAATTCTTATGATATAGGCAAACTTTTTAAATGGTTGGCCACAGAGATCCTATACGTTTTTTTTTTCACCACAGGTGCTCGAATTTTCGGAATTTTATAAAACATGGCGTAGGGCGAAGAACCGTTCGGGATAGAATTTTTTTTAGGAAACCGAGGCCACATCCCCCCCCCCCCCCCCCCCGCCCGAACACGTACGTACCAGATTATCCACCATTACTGTTACAACCTGTATATATATAATATTTCTATATAATGGAATATATAGAAAACTATTAAGACAGATAAATAATTCTAACACATTTCTTATATTTTTATATGGCTTGAAAATTTTGCATATAAAATATTTGACTGTCTAATTGGTCTCGTGATCATAGGCAATTGCTGATCATGTAATACCGGTCGATACAAATTCGGTTATTGGATTTTTTCGTCAAGAAGAAGTAGCATCTCGGAAAATGAGGAAGTTTGCGGAATTTCATTCCAGTGTCTTGGTAAAGTAAAGTCGTTAGTTAGTCTTGCGCATGATCAGTGTCCGGTCGTGTCATTGCCTGCGCACGCACACTCGTTCACTTTAATTCTGTCCTGTGGAAATAGCTAGTCTCCCTTGAGACTTGCCGCAGTGACGAAAATTGATCTGGAGGTTAAAAAAGTTAAAGTTACAGCCTATATTTCCGAGAGGGTTTTAGGGCAAGGAAATGTCCGCCGCACTGCACCAATGCACACTGCTCACAATGTTTTCCTTCACCGTCGAGTACGTGGTAAATGGTAAATCAGCACTTAAAATTGCAATTAATGCAAATGCTAATTTTTTTTCAAATTGGTGTAAAAATTGGGGGGATTTATTGTAAAAATATAATTTATTTTATATTTTTATGACAATAAAATACCTATGAAAAAAAACTAACGTTCCTTTCTTAATCAATCCGTATGATTTTCTAATAATATGTTCCTCATTAGCCTTTGCCGCATAGGCCTCCCCCATAAAACGCTTCATTGCCATCTCCTGATTTGTTTCCTTCCGTCACCTATTACAACAACCACGGGATGATATGGGGTAGTGGACTTTTAGCGGTCAGCCACCGCATAATCACCTGAAGATGCCTCGTGTAGAGGCGAAACACGTGTCGTATTGTCGTCAGTGGTGTGTCTTTCCTTTAAAAAACTCGATCCTTGTCGGTATTGGTGTTGGGAGTAGTGGTGCTGGGATTAGTGATGACGCGGATAGTGCACGCAATCGAGGGAGGGCGGGAGGTGCTCTTCAAACTAGGTAAAACACATCATTTTATTTTATCGACCGGATGTACGCGAGGTAATTTTTACCAGCTTTAACTTTAAACATGTCCTTAAAGTAACGCAAACAATTTTATCTTACCTAATCAAATATATTTAACATACACAAATACATGCATGTGAGTTATTTTACGATGTATAAATATTTAACACTCTTTGCTTGAAGTATTGTGAGACGAGAAACCGTATCCATATGATTTCGTAACATTGGCTTGGCGTACGTAAACACTCACATACTATAACTAGGTACACTTATTTTAGTAATATGTTGAAATGCCATAAGACAAGGCGCGCATATTATTATTAATTATTGTAAACAAATCCTGACGTAATTCGAAGTTGCAAATGATCGTTCATCGCCAGTTTGCCTTTGTATTTTTTGATATTATGGTACAGCTTGCCTTTTCTAAATTCAATCTAGGTTTTCAATTTACTTGAATAACGAATTATCCATGGGAAATATCACATCGTAAAATGACAGCCTGCCCCACTGACTGACAAGGGCCTTCCCTCGTTTTTGCACAGGCCAGCTCTCGGGTTTTTTTTTTATAGAGAAAAAAATAGTGCACTCTACTGCCATATTATTTCAAAAAACATTTTGGTTACTTATCAAGTTTTTCAAATTATATTTGTTTTAATTGATTTCTTTGACATCGTACACATTCATTACTTTACTTTAATGTAAATCGGAAATCAAAGTTGAAGTTAAAAATCAAGTTAACAATTAATGTTTCATGAATAACTTAAGATTTAACAGAATTAAACATAGTATAATATATTATACAAGGACTCTCCATTCATTTTCATATAATTAATATTAATAACAAGGATGCCACGGAAAATCGAATAGAATACCATCGACAGAGGGAAAATGAAACAGGAGATGGGCAGCAGCATCTTCCTGATAACAATTCAAAATGAAACCGCTTGCACAGCGTGGCGACTATGACGAAATCAAAAGTCAATATCCGACCAAGAAAAAGAATTCACAAAAATACTAGTTTTGTTGTTGGCAGCTTACGAAGTACATTAAGAATCAATGTTTTCAGTATTTAGAACAGTAATGCAGTATATGGTACATAATATACACAAATTTGTCACTCCTAACTAGTTTAGATGTGTTAGACCCCCAAACAAAACCGTTTTAAAACTGACATCTTTGACGGCCCTCCATTTCTTTACCTTTCTTCAATTTCTCTTTTTTTATTAAAATTATCTTGAAAAGAAGATTAAAAAAAAACTTTTAAACTTGGCAGCATGTTGTTGTCATGAACCTCCTCAAAACTAATTTATTTGAATTTTTAATTCAGTATTCGATTTTGGGTCAATGGTCTATACTTCATATCCGTTTACGACCAAGAAATCGAGATAGAGATCCACAGAGACACACAGTTGCAGTCTTCAGTAGATTTGATGGCATACAGGCAACTGAACAGACAGATGTCCAAACGCATGCGGCGGTACTTACGCAACTTTAATACTGCTCGTATTGAAGAAGCGATCGAGCGGAATCAGGGCTCCAAAGTCTTTGCCAGAAAGTGCCAACTGTCGAAGCTGAAGCCCGAATGTGGCAGCATCATTTTCGAGACACCTAAGATTTTGAGTGAGATTGAGATGTTCTATGGGCAGCTGTACACGTCATCGTTGGAGCTACACGCGAGTGTGAGTAACAATCCAAGAGCAAGTCTTATCCGACGCTATTGCGATGATATCCCGGACGTTAGTCTGAGCGAGATTAGAATGGCTCTCCAGCACCTTAAAAACGGCAAGGACCCAGGCGAGGATGGAATTACAGCGGAGCTTCTGAAAGCGGGTGGAAAACCGGTACTTTTACAGACGGACAGACTAACAAATGGACTATCAAACAAAGAAACGTGAGAGTGAAATTATTAAAGCTGTGTAAATAGGACGACCCTCGGATACGAAATCTTAGAAATCGCCGTAATAGTGGCGGTGTAAGAACATACATATGATATATCATGTGATGGACAGCTGATACCTGAGTATCTTCCTGATAATAACTCGAACTGAAAAAAAACTACGATGGTCAACCTACCCAACGATGTGGCGTGGCGTCTGTGGCAAATATCCCCCTATGAGGCAATCATAAGGCTTTCGTTCAGCAGCAGACATTTAATAGGCTGTGATGAATGAATGTATAAATGAAAAATAAAATAATGATTTATATTCATACAGGGCCGTCTTACTGCACTTGTTTAGATTTAAATATTTCAAATAGAAGATAATATCCAAAAATATAATTAATAGGATCAGGCGTTACTTTGCGGGAGTCCATTATATTAAAGTTGGCAAAAAATTACTTCGTAGTTTTCGTGGTAGTTTGAAGACCACCTCCCACCCTCCCTCAATTGAGTGCACTATCACCGTCACCACTAATCCCATCACCACTACTCCCAACACCACTACACTAGGAAAATACACCACCGACGACAATATGATACGTGTATCAAACGACACGTCTTCAAACTAGGTAAGGCACATCATTTTATTTTATCGAGCGGATGTACGCGAAGTAATTTTTTGTCAACTTTAATCCAAAAATATGTCGAAAATATGCACATTATCTCCAAGCCAAAATCTTAATTTTTTTGTCCTTAACGGACGATCAGATAAAAGCAAACTTCTCAGCACATTAGAGCTAACGCTTACTATGTAAATATATTCTGGCTTTGCTTAATTAAACAATGCCACCATTCACAAAGGAGGAGTCCTAGTGTGAAAGCAAGGGGAATGAAAATAATAATAATAATTATTATTATTATTATTTTCATATTTTTATTATTTTCACATTTCATATGAGTAAACTATATAGATGCCCCAATAATAATAATAATAATAATAATAATAACGTTTATTTCTCACCACAAACAAAGTTACATTTAGAGTTAAAAGTAGAATATAAGTAGTACAAAACAACTTTGCCCGTGGATCGCTGGTGCCTATGGTGGATAAGATACCAGTATTACAGGTCACTAGGTCTCCACCTCTACGAGGAATGCTATTATATCTAAAACATTAACACATAAAGTTTAACTCTATTTCTTTATTTGTACATACTTAATTGAAATAATTGGTTATGGTTAGGAAAACTTAGAAAAGTGTGTGTGTGTGTGCGTGTGTGTGTGTTCGTGTGTGTGTGTGTGTGTGTGTGTGTGTGTGAGAGAGAGAGAGAGTGTGTGTGAGAGAGTGTGTGTGTATGTATGTATGTAGGTGAATGTGTATTTTACACGACAACCTCTAAAAGACTTTCTGTTTTTGTATAGGTTTGCTTAAGGAGCCACTTGAGAATAGTGTTTTTGCACTCATATTGATTTCGAGAAAAAAGGGATAAGGTTTTATGCAATTTATTATATAAATAGGGGCCAAGGAATATGAAGAATCTATGACTAAATGCAGTTTTAACTTGAGTAGACTTTGCAACTAGTTGGTTACGTCGTGTCCATTCAGGGATATATTTGGTTGAGGCATGTTGTTTGAGAGCGGTGGTTAAAATGAATAATTGTCTAACTGTTAGCACTTGGCAATAGTCGTAAAGTTGGTCTGTAGGAAACATACGTGGTTTAAAACAACATACTTTTAAAACAGCTCTCTGTGCCCGTTGAAGTTGTATAAAATTACTTTTAGCCGCATGTAAGAATATTATATTATAATATAATATTACATGAACGCAAGTAAGACAAAAGTTTGGTGTGAAGGATAAGAAGTGATGAAGAGAAGAGTGTGATTTGCAAGACGATGTTGTGACCAGGAGTAAGAAAGGAATGCTGCGGTAGTTTGGTCATGTAGAAAGAATGAATGAGGAATGACTGACAAAGAAAATTTATGTTGCAGAAGTGAACGATAGAGTCGGGAAGGGACGGTCTAGGCGAAAGTTTATCGACCAAATTGGTGATATATTGAAAATGGGCCAAATTAAAAGTACCCTTAACCGACGAGAATGTATGCGTAGGTATATGGATGTGGAGGAAGGTAGAGAGATGTGTCAGGATCGTGCCAAATGGAAGTCCATAGTCTCTGCCTACCCCTTCGGGTGACAGGCGTGAGTGTTTATGTATATGTATATGTTTGTGTACACACAAACTTAGCAAAAAGTTTAGCTCACGTAATAATTATTGGAGTTACAAAATTTTACTTACCAAGTAATCTACACATACGGTTATCATCCACTGGGTTATACTGTACTCTTGCCAGACAAGAGCACGCAAGGAGCATCATGCTCACGTGGCAAATCAAGTTTCGACCATGCAGGTTCCTCAGCTCTGGTAGCGAACAGTATACAATTAGAGTTAGAGCCAGGCACACGCTTGATATGCTGTTGATCTGTATAAAAAATTCAATATTGTCATAGAAAACCTTAACCAATGAGACAAAGAACATTGCAATTATGTGGCTAATGTAATAACAAACACTTATACGTCTAGTTAAAGTAAAATGGAAGCCATTATTTTGTGAACAAGATATAAGGTACGTGAAGGTAATATCCTCAACTTTTTTTTATAGGATAATTTAACAAACGAGCACACAGTCCACCTGATGGTAAGAGGTCGCTGTGGCCCATAAAAATCAACATCTATCCTCAGTAAAGAATCAAAATGCAGATGCGTGGTCACCCTAGAGGACTCTTCTGGAATGCCTCTTCTCCAGTAAAAGGGGTCTCCGGTTCTCTACACTCACCATACGAAACACAGCAGTGTTAAACTGCTATTTTACGCTGGTATTCTATGAGAGCGTGGTCTTTCCCCGGTCAAGCCGACCCAATCGTGCTACAACTATACAGTTAATATAGCTGCAGCATGGCTCTACCACGTGAGAAAAGCTTTATCGTCTTATAAAATCAGAATTAGAAGGAGGACAGAGATAAAAACACAAAGTCGTATACTATAACTAATACATTAAGAAAAAATAACAAACAAGTTTTGACTTAATTAGGAACACTTCGAAGATTCAACTTAAAAAAACTAACTACACTATACAATAATAAAATCGATTAAAATATTTACTATATCAAAATAGCGTTGATGAAGAAGCGCCTTTTTTACCCTTTATTATTTGATTGACTGATGAGGAGCTATCGTATCACAGAGCCTTCTATACAAACGGGGCTGCGACATATATAATAAATGTTTTCTAAGCAAGTGACATTTATATTCATATGGATTTAACACCGAGCTAACTATAAACTATTTATATTACTGGCCTGCTTGATTGTAAACTATTTATAATCAAGCAGGCCTCTCTAAAGTGATCATACATGATATAAATTGTACTTTGCAAATTTGCTTTTTAAATAATAGTTAGGTGTAAAAATAATTATATTTTACGCGAATATTGATCCAAGATTAAGAGATTTTGATGGCTCCGTGGCGCAGTGGCTTAGCAATGAGTTGCTGCGCTGGTGGCCGCGGGTCCGAATCCCGCACGGAACAAGTATTTGTATGGCCTCCAAATAACTGTTCCGTGTCTTGATGTTTGTCTTTGTGCAATTTATGTTTGTAAAGTGCCTCCACGATACAGGAGAAACTCATAGTGTGGGGGTAACGTTTTTTAAAAAAAATTACAATAAATAAATAGAATTGAAGCAATTGACAAAATATTTATGCTAATATTACGAGGGGCTCGCACTGACTTATATGTTACGGGCCTCGTTATTACGATTAAGTTTACAGTAGGAAAGTGATCTATTTAATGTTTATGGTGATTCATGATGAATTTAAAATATAAAAATGGCAATTACATATAGGAAAAGATTAATAAATTATTCTTTTCCTTCTTTTCTGACTATATGTATATATTTACATTCTATTTTAGAAGAATTATTTAATTATTTGGTAGGTATTTATTATTTTTACCAGAGCAACACAAAAATATTTCGCATTTGCAAAATTAGCTCAGCGCAAATATTTTTAACTTAAATAATATATCTGAAGTAGTTAACGTGAGTGAGTTAAAGTAATTCAATTAAATCTAAATGAACCGCTATTAATCTTTGATAAAAATCGTGTTACATACGTTAAAAAAGGAAACGCAGTGGAATTCATAACCTTCTCCTATTTGGAATTCGAGTGAAATGCTATCAATCAACAAATAACTGAATACCTACCTACTTACGTGGTACAGCCACGCTGCCGCTATATTATAGCTGCGGCACGAATGGGTTGGTTCTATCGGGGAAAGACTACGCTCTCACGGTATACCAGTGTGATATACCCACTCTTCACATAGAAACCTCAGCATTATTCTGCTGTTTCACGCTGGTGTATTTTGAGAGCGTGGTGCTTCACCGACCAAACCGACCCATTCGCCCTGCCGCCATATAATAGAACCGTAATGTAGTTAACTATTACTATAGCATTCTGTAAGGAGCCTACTAATTTTATAACTGCGAAGTTTAGTTTATGACCTCTCACAACAAACTCAGTTTAAACTGATTTTACTATTAACAGTCAAATCTATAACCTATAATCATGATATTTGTGATTTCGAAAACAAAACCCCTAATATGAACTAATAACTTTATAAGACAATATAATTGACAAAAAAGCGAATCGAATGGTAATGCCATTTAGTTATAATTGTGGATTTTGCATTGTATTTAGTTAATTTTGTACAAATTGTAATCGTTATCTACGAAGAATGTTAACAAAGTCACGTTATTATAAATAATCAGAAACTGATCGATCTACCGACTTGAAGCATTGCGATGATTAAATAATAAGTAGTAATAATTTGAGAATATTATATCTTACCACAAATGCCACGCGAAAGTCTTTTATCTCAACCTCTGCAATGAAACAGAGAACAGCACTTATAAGGACATCATTTTCAGGGCAATGGCGTCGGTCGAACATCTCCAGACAGTAGGTATTAGTGATAGAAATTGATGATTCCAGCAAGCCCTCAGGAGTCATGCGATGTCGATCTCTTGGGTCCGATGCATTGAGCACATATCGTCCCTCAGGGCAGTCAAGTTTGGTTCGAACCCCCATAACATCTAGTATAGGCAAAATTACAAGACTAGATCAAATCATCGAAAACTGTAGCAGGTTCTTTTTTGATTACTTTGTTGTCTGTACATCTGGCAAAGTTCTTTTTCTCAGGAACGTTTTTTTTTTATAGAATATAGGTGACAAATGCACAGACCATATGATGGTAAGTGGATGCCGTGGCCCATAGACTCTTACATCTGTCCTCGATTAGGAATCAATATGTAAATGCGTTGTCACCCTTGAAGACAAACACAAAATACCTAGTTATCCGTTAATAGTGTCTCCGGTTTTCTACACTCATAACACATACGAAACACCGCGTAAAATAGAAGATTTAAGCTGCTACTATTTTACGCTGGTATTCTGTGAGAGAGTCAAGAGTGATTCTTTCCCGGTCGAGTTAAACCATTTGCGCTAGAACTATAATATAGGTCAACCACGTTAAACCGTTAAATAAATTATTAACCGTAGTATCAAGTTGAAATTTATCTAGACTTGATACCACTTAACTTTAACCGTGGTGTCAAGTTGAAATGTATATCAATTACTAAGGTCTGTCGTACGGAATCCTTGGAGAGCTCGAGGCGCGAGCTCTACACGCATTTGACTGGTTTTATATCATAACAAGTTTACTCAAAAGTACACGAACTCTGGCTCAAAACAACACTGGAAAACATCGTGTTTGAATTATTTGTTAATAATTGGCTTCTTAATACTGTCTGAATGTTTACGTTTATAAAAGACATATGAAGCATTTAAATCATTATACGAATATAAAAAACAGTTAGGTTCATTTAAAATTTGCACTTTAAGGGTTCCGTAACACAAAAAAAAACGGAACCCTTACAGGATCACTTTGTTATCCAGACATGCAGCCATACGTCCGCCCGTCTGTCCGTCGGTTGGTCTGTCCGTCTGTCCATACATTGTAAAGTTTATACCCACCCTAGGACGCAATTACTACTAGCACTTGCCCGGATTTTTTTCGCTCTTCTCTCTTTTATAAGATTTTGTAAGGTATTCATTTTATCTTTTTATAATAGCTGAACTTTAACAAATATTAAAAAACAATAACTTCTTGAATTAATACAGATAAGATGTTTTTATCAGTACACCGAACAGATAGAAAACGAAGAATCTTGATAAATATAAAAAAGTTAAAAACAATTACTAAATAAAATCTTACCTGTCAAACCTATGTAATCAGTTTCTAGTGTATCTAAATATTTTGAAGTGTTGAAGAAATCCTGATCATCTACATTAGGTGTACAAGTGCTTACTAAGCTTCCACATCGCCGTACTTTATAATGATATCCTTCAGGACAACATTTACGTACGCAGAATGCATTAAAAGCAAGGCAGTTTTTTGTGCAGACCTTCGCCACGGTTTCCACTCCTCCATATTCTTGATCGATACACCAATCTCCTTGCATAAGACTGCCTCCTTTGCTTTTGTCACTTTTACTCCACGCGTTTAAAACACTGCCTTCTATGGAAAACACAAAATCTTTTTGTTTTAATTCAACAGCATATTCGTCAGCTTTGCATTGCAGTCCAATGTCAACTTCATATACATAACTGCCCGTCAAATTTAAATTATCAATCAACCATTTCTCATGATTTCCATTCGCAATGTTCCTGCACCCATGATATTCGGTGTCAAAGCTTTCTCCTTTTCGACAGCATTTTCTTATATGACTTATTTCTAAATATGACTTGGATATATTTTCAGTCTCATTATTCAAGCAAGTTAATTCTACTGTTTTGGGAATGTGTTGCGACAAAGTATCGTTGATAACTTCAGCTATCAATCTATCATAGCACTTGCTGTCTGAAGTCAATAATTTTGTGCCGACATCCACCGTTCCCATCATCAAGCTATCACACAGCATTGGCATTCCATGATTTACTGAAACACTATCACTTACAACTAGTGGAGAATAAGAGATATTATACGTTTTTTCTATAAACTGACGATCCACACAATCAAAATGTTCATTATAATCAAAATCTAACGATACCACCTTAATAAGACTCTCATGTCTCGCGCAGCATTTACGAAAAACCTTTACTTCACTGGCACTCAAACTATCACTGGCAGTTACGCTCGCTATTGCAAGCATTGAAGTACACACGTACAGGATCCACATGATTCGTGAAGCTGAAAGCACTGTTTACGACAATTATATTTAATATAGTTACAACAGGTGTTTAATATCGGTCATCGCGGAATGCATTGTTTATTTGGCGAACGAAGTTCGGGTTCGGGGCGTGCGGCGTAGGTCGACGGCGGCGGCTGAGTGATGCCAGGCTCAAACTCGGAACGTCTCTAAACGAGCAAGAGGCTGTTATGGCATTGAAATGCAGCACTTCCCTTATTACACATTAAACGTATGTACAAAGGAGCTCCATATACGAAATTTAAATATCATGAAACCAATATTTTAATGTATATTATATACAAAACATTCTTATGCACTATGTACACTTCACACCATGAGCATTTATTTTATAAATATAATTTTATTAGTAGTTAACCAGTTGGCTAATAGTAGATAAAGTAACTACTACGATATACAACAACGCCGATTCATCGCCAATCAAACATTGATAACCGTGAAGTGATCGATAGATTACCCAGAATTGAAGAGCGATATTTATTTGATGAAATGAACGATACAATTTTATATATCCTGTATAATATTTCTTTAAAGAAACTGTTAGATTGATTTACATAGAATTTACGTAATATATTTATGTGTATATTATTTTTTCGTTACGTTAATATATTCGGCTAAAAATTAACGTAAAATTTTCGTTTAATTCATTCAATTCAATCCATTCATTTTGCACTTTATATTAGTGTATTACGATTTAATTTTCATTCTTTGTCAGCATTGAAATCGTAAATACAGAAATAAAGCTAGTAATACAAAGGGGACGTTTCTTTTCCAGTAAAAAGGGTCTCCGGTTCTCTACACTCACCATACGAAACAAAGCAGTGTTGAAAACAAGCTGCTATTTTACGCTGGTATTCTGTGAGAGCATGGTCCTTCCCCGGTCGAGCCGACCCATTCATGCTACAACTATACTTCTAATATAGCTGCTACATGGCTCTACCAGGCATGAAAGATTTGGTCGCTCTTGTAAAATAGCATCACGTTATTAGCAGGAGTGCTACCAAGCCCGGGCTGACACATCAACATTCCGGAATGTAAACATCAGCGCCCTTAAAAGGAAGTATAATTCCGCCTCCAGGTTCTTCAAAAAAGTGATTGCAAAATCAAAGTCAGAGTACATCGACAGAGTTGGCGAGAAACTAGTTCACTTTCCTTCTGGAACCAGTGCATTCTGATCTCTCCCCAAAACGGTCTAAGGTGACTTCTGTCAACCATCTCTTCCATCTCTGCACAGGGAGGACGACTCACTGGCCCACGCCGCGAAGGAGCTGTGCTAGGCTCTTTCTTTGCGCCCAACTCTACTCTCTACGACTAGAAGGAGCACACCGCCGACCATCCCACGGTGTGAGTGCTCCATTCCAGATGTGCGGTTTACACAGGGCTAGGTTCGCAAAGCACACTTCTCCCTGGACATCCAGCCGATAAACTTCCGATACCATCCACACCATCTGGATGCTTGGCAGTCCACCACTGTACGTCTTGCTTGCAGTTTTCTTCCTCGTATGACCTCTCTGTGGAAAAGTTTACCACCGGTGATTTTTCCGGACCGACATAACTTAGAAACTTTCAAGAAAAGAGCTTACTCCTTTCTAAAAAGCAGGCAACGCACCTGCAATGCCCCTGGTGTTGCAGTTCATAGGTGTTGGTAGTTACTTACCATCAGGTGAGCCGTATGCTCGTTAGCCCCCTCTCCTATAAGAAAATACAACAAAAATGGTAGGATATTCCGTACCAGTGTGTGCAGAAAGATTTGTTTATAATTTCTATAGTAACCAATATCCGGTCCTCCTTCAAACTGATTTGACTTAGGAATCTAGTCACTAGTTACACGCTTTAAGTAATCTCGGCACATAACTTGATGGGGAAAGTTAACGTAAAAATCCAAGCGGCGATCTGTCAACCTCGTCAGTGCCCTTGTGGTAGCGGCGACGACGAGTTTGGGCTTCATGTAAGAAAAGTACTGGTACACGGTTCTCTAAATTATGTTATCCGAAGAGTTTTTGTCCCTACATATAAATAATTGAATACATATAAATTCTTCGCATCATTTTTACCAATGACGTGTCGTTTCGTACTCATATTGTACAGGTGTATAAAAAGGCCTTTAAAACCCTGGGCTTCATAATGCGTGACGCGCATGACTTCCATAACACTGCCGCCGTGAATTCATTATATAATGATTTAGTAAGAAGCAATCTAGAAACCAATGCTATCATCTGGAATACTTATGAAACCAAGTATAGCCTCATAGTGCACCCTTTTTATCCTCTTACGTATCCAACCCTTCTTGTAATAGGAATGGTTGGCTATTTAAGTTGGAGGTAAGACGGAACTTTGCGCTACTTAAGTACATATTCTTGATCTTAAGTGGTAGATTAAACAATCTGGAAGTTCTGGAAACACTGCAGTTCCTCGTGCCTAATCCTAGGATGCGATGTGGGCTGAGGGGAGGGTTGCTGGAACAACCAGTTGCTCGTACAAATAAATGTCTTAAAATACGCACCAGTTGTTCGCGTAGCTAGAATGCTAATATTGTAACATTAAAACATTTGTCATTTTTATATTAGTGACCACATTGCTGCAATAGGCTCCACTCATGTAATAACAATTGTGACTTAGTAAATAAATACATAAAAATAAAGACAAACGTTGAGACAGCTAGATTAGTTTATTTTAGTTACTTTCATAGCGTGGTCTTATGAAATTTTGCTATAGGCTAATGCGACTAACATCGAAGCAATATTTGTTTTGCAAAAGAGAGCCGTACGGGCGATTTATAACTTAAATTATAATAAGTCCCATAAAGAACAATTAAAAGAAATAAACATATTAACTTTTGCATCGCAATATATTTATAAAAATATAACGTATGTAAGTATATGATAAAAAATTACTTTAATAAGAATAAAGATGTTCATACTTTAAACACTAGGAACAAACTTAAGCTTCTAATACCAGTTACTAGACTCCACAGAATTAGTAATTCATTTGTGGGGCAATGGGCAATGTATACGCTTTTGCAACAAAATCCCAGAAAATGTACAAAATTTGTCAATAAACAAGCTTAAATGTTTTTTTAAAGAAAAATTGAACAAAAAGGCTTATTATAATATCAAAGAATACATGAATGAAAATAACCCCTGGGAATAAGGTGATCGCCACCTTGCTCATTCTATTAAAATTAATTAAAAATTGCCCAAACAAAATTATTGTAAAGTGAAATATGTTTAAAAAAAAGTCCCGCTGGGTTTCTTGCTGGTTCTTCCCAGGAAATACCCCTTGTATTTTCCAAAACCAGTAGAAAATAAAACAATGACTTTCAATAAGTATTGTAATAATCTATATTGAATAAAAATTATTCTATTTTTATAATTGTGCCATTTGCTGTAGAGACTATTGTTCCGTGGGGTTCACGTGGAGTAAAGTTTCTAAAAGAACTGTATCCGCCACTTATCGTCATTTCTGTTGATAAAAAGGGCTGGTTCTTTTCTCACCGTGTAGTGGCAGTGTAAGAATATCCACTACCCCTAATCATCCCGTGGATGTCGTAAGAGGCGACAACCACAGGATGACATGGTGTAGTGGATATAGCAGCTTCTTCCTAATAACGACTAAAAATAAAAACTGCGGTATTCAACCCGCTTGCCGAGCGTGGCAACTATAGCAAATATCCCCCCTATGAGGCAATTTGTGAGGGAGGCCTATGTTCAGCAGTGGACTTTGATGGCCTGTTAAGGTAACCGTAACGGTTACCTTTACAGTTAACGGTTCGCTCAAAGGCTAAGTATAGCCATTTAGCGAGGAAACGCTGCAAGCGTTCTTGGCACTATACCGCGGAGAGAAGGACAATATGATAATTTAAATTATTGATTTAGTGTTTTTTATAATGGTTATAAATATTGTAGATTTGAGTGATATGTAAATAAGTGACATTATTTATTGTATTAAGAAAATAAGCTTAATTTGCTAAGCTTAAAATTATAATACAAGTCATCTAGAAGTCTAATATTTCTTTAGTCCATCTTTCACATAGACTATATAAACAAAAGATTAACATAAACCGGGGAAACCCAACTGCGTCTTATGTGATTTATTATACTTAGTTATACAAATATATATTATCTAAATATGTTGACATTTCGGAAAATACTAGTGATGCCTAACAAGAGTTAGTATTAATATAAATAGCGATTTACGTATATACGAGCTTTGCAGAACTAATAATACATCACAAACAACAAAGATACCAAAATCACATGAAATATAAAATATTAGAGGCAACCAATTTCTTTTTCTTAACGTTCTTAACGTAATTTATTTAAATAAAATAAGGGAAAACAGGGGAGAATTTGTTCTTAAAGAAGTACCATGATTATGCGTATGATTAGTGATTGCCATTGTTCGATCAGGTACCTAAACTTATAAAATCATAGGTTATAGGCCTTCTTCCCTGGGAGACCTGTCGCCTATTCTGGAGGAGACAGGCAGATTATGTCCAACTCCTGTCGACTATATAGTAAGTCTAAGCCAGCATTACCTACTTTTAAAGATGACATACACAAGTCTATTTATTATAAAATCTCTACAAAATATTTTACAAATATAAATTTGCTAAAAGATAGAGTTACTGTGTGAAGAGAACAATAAAGTTGGACTGCAGGTATGGCTCCGCCAAATGGGTTACGTAAATCGTCAGTCGACGAACCATATAACTCTTGAAATAATCAAGACACCGTTGAAAAGAAATTATTTATAACAGCTCATGAACAATTAGTCGCTTCCGCCGGAAAGGGGCGAACTTCATACAAACAGTCGACAATGAGTTAAAAATACAAAATTGCTCCATCCGTCGAGATCTATATCGTTACAATCGGGCAAAGGTCTATGTAGAAAAATAACGAGTTTAAAGAGGCGGCGTATGTCAACAACACTTCGTGTGAGATTTTAGGCAAGCTCGTAGATCGCCTTTG